GCGTATGGTGGAGCAACCCGCGGCGGCGCCGGCGGCGCCGACGCCGACGCGGCCCCCGCCCCAGCCGCTGCCGCTGCTGCTGCTGCCGGCCGCCTTGGCCCACGTCCTGCATGCCCGGCGGGCCTTCGTCCTCGGCCGGCTCTACCTCGCAGCTACTGCTGTAGTCGGTGTCGTCGCCTTCGTCGTCGACCGCAACCCACGGGTTGCGCTGCTGCCGCATGATGGCCACGGGCCGCTTTCTTTCCCCGACGATGACCACGTCGGCGGTGGCCGAGTCGTCCCGCCCCGCAGCGGCGGACTCCTGCCTGGCCATCACCCCGTGGAGGATCGCGATGCCGCTCGTGAGATGGTCCTTCAGAACAGAACACGCGGCAGCCAAAGCGTCCGCGAGAAGGGGAGGGGGGGGGGGTATGGTATGGTGACAACGTTAGCGTGGATAAGAGACGCGGGCAGGACGGCTAGCTCGCAATTGCTTTACCTTGTGGTGAGCCGGCCGGATTCTCAGCAAGCATGCAGGGCGATGGAAAGTGCGATTTGTTGGCCCCACGTTGTTCCTCCTATGCTGCTGTTGTCGCGAATCTCGCTGAAAAGGGTGCACCTTCAGGACTGTGAGACGATAGCCGATTCGTACCTTACTTTGACCGCGAGCCTACACGGCTGTGTGGATGAAACGTACATACCCGTCTCCCGTGCCTACCGTAAGGCGAAAAAAAAAAAAAAAAGCTGCCACCTGCGCTCTATCCAGGTTCTCCTCTCTCTCCCGTTCGCCCGTCTCGTCCATGTCCGCACGGCCCCTCTCTTCGCCCAGAACCTCATCGCGACCATCACCATCACCGCCTCCGCCGATCCGCACACTCCCGGGGTGAGAACCCCCTCCCGCCTTTCCCTCGGCGCCGCCGCTCTTTCTCGCCGCCCCGTTCTTGCGCGAACCGTCGCTCCGGTGCCTACTCTTTTTCTGCGCCGCCGCCCCCCCGTCCGCCTTGCCGCCACCACTACCCGCCACTGCCCCCTGTGCGCGCAGGGGAGGCGGAGAGGTCCAGACCTCGCCTCCTGAGTCTGCCGTCCAAACGCCAGCCTTTTGCGTGCTGGCCGTGCCCCCCCCCGCTGAAGAATGTCCCCGTGAGCTGCTGGTGCCGGTGCTGGTGCTGCCAGGCCTCGGGAGTGCTCCGTGGGTGCCCAGGTACGTGTCGGCGATGTGCTCCTGGACGGAAGCGCAGATGGTCTCGTGCCCCCCACCGCCTAGCTCGGCAAGTTCCTGTGCAGTTTAGTTTAGATTTTAAGACAAAAGCAATAGCCGATGGTGATCAGGCGGTTGCGTAAGCGGGTGTGGGGGGGGTCGGTCCGGGCGAGGTTGGCAAACAGCCTCCTTCGCGCACCACCGGCCGGTTAATGTAGCGCGGTCGATGCCAAACAAAAAGAACACATAGACAAGAGATTAGAAAGTGCTCTTGTTCCTTATCCCGCTACAAGACCGACGTCTTTTCATTGGTCAGCCGGCTACTAGTGCGGTCGATGCAAACAATTAAGATACACACATCCACACACACACACACACATCCACACGTCAGCCGGTTAGCGCGGTCGATGTTAATAATAAAGACACACACACACCTCCAGCAGCTGTAGAGAGTTCTCCAGCAGCTGCCGCTGCCGCCGCTGCAACTGCCGCACCACCTCCGGGCCGGCGCTCGGGCTCACGTCCAGGGGGCCGCGGGCTTCGAAGTCGGAAGACGACGACGACGACGACGACGTACCCGGGTCGTTTCCCGTGCGCCCCCCCGCGGAGCCCCTTCCGGCGGCCGGTCGACCTCCACGGCCCCAAAATTGACGCCGCGTGTGGTGAGATATCCGAAGCGCGAACCGGTAGCAGAGCATGGCGAGGAGCCACTAGGACGCGGGAGAGAGGGGGGAGGGGAAGGGAGCAAAGGCAAAAAAGTCGAAATTAAGCCGCACCGGAGAGGGGGTGATTGAGTCTGTGTGACCGTAGGTGGAAGCCAAGCGCCGGGGTGCTCGTCGAGAGGGCGGAGGTTTGGCCGCGAGCGCCGTTCGTCTTCTTCTTTCGAAAACTTGCGGGGCTCAAGACTCCAACGTCCGTGCGAGCGGTAGTCTAGGCTGGGCTACTGTTGTGCCTCCAAAACCTGAACGTTAAATCAGGCACCGCGGCAGTCTCTGCTGTTGCTGCCTGCTGCTGTACAAGAAAATGGCTTTCTTGTCGAGCGCAAGCACGTTTAGCCCTTTTCTTTGCTCGAATTTTCACAGTCGCAAGCAAGGCGAAATCAAAGCTGCGACACACCTTCCACCGTCGATGTCGCTGCCTGCTCAGAGCGCTCACGTCGTACAGCTGTCCACGAACGCACAAGAGGGGAACGAGAAAAGGATAGGGTCATTGGCACAAAAGTTAACACTAATAAATACACATGCATGTAAACATTCATCGTTACACACGCCGTACAGACTACGGCTGAAAGGGACCTAAAGCGTTCGCTGGAATGGCGACACGTAGACGTAGACTGCTGTAGTCCTACCCGACAGTAGAGGGCTTGCTTGGGGCGGGCTCCGGTCATAAATGCACGACAACCGACCGAACGTCACGAACACGGGAGTACCGCTTTGCTCTCACCCAGCCTCAGGCAAGTGGAACACAAAAGGCCTTGCTCGAACTTTCCTGGGCACGCCACTAGCCAATCAAACCAGGGCAGAAACAAGCGCGCAGTCCACATCCCTGCCCCCTAATGTTCAAAGAGAGGCCGTTCTTTGGTTTCGAACCCACCCGCCGGCTCACGAAATGCTACTGCTGTAGCGCCGGCAGCAAAAGGCGAAACTACCAGGTAACCTGCTGTTTTACTTGCGCCCCGCCAGTCATCGATCATTTCGTCGGGAAGCTCGCTTCTCGCGAGTCGTCTCCCCCGAATAGCGCTTGCTGCCTGCGACGGCAAGCCACCGGCTTCTCGAACGAAAATGCAAAAGAAAAGAAAACTCGGCGAGCTTTTTCTCCCCCCAGGAAACGCGTACTTCGAAGTATCGTTGCAGCTTCAACACAGCGAACTCCATGGTCTGCATAGCCAGCAAGCTTCCGCTGCTCTGAGAGCGCACAACAACAAGAATAAAAAAGGATCCGGCCGTTGTGCCAAAGAATCGGAGAACCTACCTGGACGTGCGCCGCCCCCTCGCTCCGATGCAACAGGTACGTCCCGCCCTCCCGCGAACAGTTTTCCTGTTGAAGCACAAGATAGAAAAAAATGATGTGGTAACCGGCGGTCAGCGGCGCAGTGGCTCGGAATAGCGTGGCTGGTTGCCTCGCGCCAAGCACCGGCGACAGCGAGCGTGGCATCGGCCGAAGAAAACCTTTTCGCGTTCGTCTTGACAGGGCGGTGAAACGAATGAGTCTATGGTACATTTTTGTAGGCATTCGCTCCAAGCAGCACAAAAAACAATTCGTGCCCGCCATAACAGGTTTTGGCAAGACTCTTCACGGTCCTATCTTCCTGCTCCAACGAAAGCGTACAACAAAATAGCAGGCCGAGAGCTGCCGTCTGCAGGCAACAACTGGTCGACAAATCGACCACCAGCACTTTCACACCTGCAGGAATCGGAGCAGCATGGTGGCGTTGAGCTCCACCACATCTGGATCGAACATGGGCACCGGGGTACCCACTCCGACCCCGCCGCCACCGGCTCCTACATTCTGCGGGCCCCCTTCAGTCGCCGTCGCCGCCGCTGTTTTCCTCGACATGGAGCTGAGATAGGGAATGTCTTCCGTGCTCACCACTCGGCACCCCTGTTTCGTGTGCACGGGAGTAGTAAGGAGTGTGTGTGAGAGAGAGAGAGGGAGAGGGGGGGAGAGAGAGAGAGAGAGAGAGAGAGAGAGAGAGAGAGAGAGACATACAGAGGCAAAAAGAAAGAGACCAAAACAGAGGGAGAGACGGGGAGAGACAGATACAAAGAGCGAGAGAGAGAAAATACACAAAGAGAGACAGAGACATGGCGACAGAGTGAGCAGAGACCCCGCGCAAACCCATAATCGAACAGGGCATTTGAAGGACAAGAAAAGACACCCACAGCAGAGGGCAACGAGGCACGGAACAGAAAGGGGGAACAACAGGCTTCGGGTTGCACTGCACTTGGAGGCCTAACCCGACAGAAAAAAATGAGGCAAGCTCCTTTCTCAAACCGCCTGCGTGTCTCAGCTGTGTGGGCTGCATTGCCTTGCGAACGTTGCGCTTTGTCCGAAAGACGAACAAGAATAAAACAAAACCACAAGCAAAACGACACAAAAGGCGCAAAACAATCCCGCCAACCGGCCGCAATCACGCCGCCAAACACGGTAAACAAGGCTTACACAACCCCCCCGCAAGCGCAAGATCGCGCAGCACCTACCTGTATGTAGCCCTTCTCCCGCATGCAGAGCGCCAGCTCCGGCACGTTCTCCATGACGTTGTCTAGGTAGTAGTCGAGGCAGGTGCACAGGCTCAGGTCCTCGTCGCCGTCGTGCAGCCGGACCGAAACCTGGGGGTGCTCCGCGGTGCTGCACACCGGCAAGCTGCTGCCCAGCACCAGGTGCATCCCGGCCAGCTCCCACTCGAACGAGCGCCAGAACCCAACCGGCTCCGGCGGGCGCACCCCGAACGACTGCGCCCGAGGCCGGCTGGGCACGAGGGACAGGATGCCGCCGCCGCCGCCGCGGCCGCTGCCGGGGTCGCCGGGCACGACCAGCGCAGCGTCTTCACCGCTCGAGCTAGCGGCGGTGGCGGCGGCATCGGGCGCCCCCAGAGCCGGCCAGTTCCCTTGGTCTGTGACCGACCACTCCTCCTCCTCCTCCTGTCCCCCGGCGGCAGTCGATGACTCGCGTCCAGCGCAAGACGAGGACGGGGCCAAGCCCTCTCTGCTTCGACCCCGTCCTCTCGATTCTGGTTCCCACCCCTTGCCGGCGTTCTTCCTCGCTTGCACTGCTGCTGCTGCCGGCGATGAAAACCTCTGTCCTCTTCTCGCAGCAGCCCCTGCTCTATTGACCCGCCGTTCGCCTTCGGGCACTCCCGATGGCGCGGTCGAATCGCCAGCAGAATGACCGCCACCCTCCTCGTGGCCATATCGCCCCCACCCCTGCTCCCCTCCATCCCCTTCCGGTTGCCTCGGCTTGCCCCCTCTGCCCACCATCACCCAACGGCCTTCCTTTTCTCCACCCCCCACCACGGTGTCACTGTTGTTGTTGTTGCTGTTGCTGCTGCTGCTGCTGCTGCTGCTGCTGCTGCTGCCGATGCCGCCACCAATAGGGTTGGAGGCAGACGATGCCGGCGGCGGCGCAGGCGGCGCGGACACCGGAGCCTTGTCGGCGGTGGCGGCGGCGGCGGCGGCGGCGGCGGCCGCGGGGGCAAGCACCTGGTCAAGGTTGCCGTCAAGGACCAGGGTCTGACCCACCCTGTGCAAGCCCACGGACACAGCCTCGCTCGTAAACGGTAGGTGGAAGAGCTCCCTGACGGACTCCGTTGTCCCCAGAAAGTCCAGCCCGCCTCTACCGCCGCCTGTGCTGCTGCTGCTGCCGTTGCTGCTGCGACGCCGCCCTCCTCCTCTTCCTTCTCCTTTTCCTTCGCCTCCGTCGTCTGAGCCGCAAGCGCCGTCCGCCTTGCCGCCGGGGTCAAGGGCGGACGTGTGAGGCCGACCACTCCTGAACCATGACTGGTGTCTCACCGCCCGGTCTGGCGACCTGTCTGACCTTCGTACTGGGGAAGTAACGCTGAACTGTTCTTGTAGGCGTTCGCCATGGCAGCGGCGGGGGGGTCGCGAACGGGGGGGGGAGGGGTTAAGAAAAGCAGGCGCCCTCGTGGAATTTATTTCGTGGCTCTGTGCAGTACGCGCCCGTTCTCTATCTATGAAAGGCAGACGGTGTTCTGTACGAGCTCAAAGGAAACCTACTATAATACTGCCGTAGCTACAACTTGTGCTTTTACAAGATGTTGGCCATCACAGCAAACAACGCTCGGTGACGTACAAAGTAGTGCTTTTATCCCAACCACCGCTGCACGCTGTACTCGCAGCATCACAGGTAAGCCATGTTTTCGCCGTCATGACGTAACGCGCTGCTGCGGCGTGCAGCGGGCGACCATGCCCGGTTTCGAGCACAATCGGGTTGAAGATGTTGAGGAGCATGTGTCACAAGCCTCTTGGTAGGGATAGCAAAAGGCAGCGCCCATGCTGCTGCGGCAAGGTCGCTTGGAGGCTGCATATTTCAATGGATGCTTTGCTCCCTCTCGACGTGCACCACTTCTTACTGTCAACTCCTCCTGTGAGGCAAGCGTGCTCCAGCTACCCTGAAGCTTGCAGTAGAGAGGGCGCTGCCGCTATCAACACTACTGCTGTATAGCCAGCGGCAGCAGCTGTAGCGGCGAGATCAAGAGCAAGAACAGCATGCACCTCAGACCTGGCTGTCCGCCCGTTCGTGCGGCATCAAGCTGATGAGGCTCCTCATGAGCGCCGTGTCGTCCTCTGACCGGAGAGGCGACTCGCCTCGCTCCGCGGCGGCAGTCACCACCGGACCGCTGCTGCTGCTGCTGCTGCTGCTGCTGCTGCTGCCCCTGTGGGGAACCAAGGTTCTAATGGCCATCCCCCCCTCTTGCTCTCCGTGCCCATCTCCCCCCGCACGTGGGCTGTTGCCATCGCTACTGTTGCTCGAGGTCTCTACCGACAGCAGTAGGTCTTTCTGCAGCGGGATGATAGCCAAGGGGTGCGGATCACGCATACTGGGCAACCTCTGTGGTACTGCTGTACACGCGTGCCCGTACGTGTAGACGGGGGTGTTGGTCAGCAATGCGGCAACAAGCCTCTTTTTGTCTCTCGGTGTTGTTCCAGAAGATGCACAAAACGCCTCTTTTCGATTCCGGATGGAAATGATATCCTCCCCGGCTCATCATTCCCCCCCCAAGCCTCTGTTCTCCGTCCCGTTCTTCATGGATACACACGATACCACGCACGACACACAGCGCCATTTTTCACACACCTCCCACGACACGCCGCCCCACTCTACCGCAAGGGCTACTTTCTATAGCTAGCCGAAGGCTGCGAGAGTGCAGTCGCAGGAATCTGCAACAAAAGGTGTACGTCTTGATTGGACAAAACCACCCGGAAAGCGCAAGTCTAACTCTCCGACAGATGGTGACTTTGCTCGTGGGCACCACGCTAGCCCTTGCGGCCGGCGTTGCTGCTGGGATACCGCTGCGGAACGACCTGGGTAACATGTCCATGGCTATCGATACCTCATCCAGCCTTGCCCGGCGGTGAGTGTAAGAGAAAGGGGAGAACTACATGTGAGGAGTGGGACAAGCAAAGAAAGGTGGTCTGCGTGCAAGGGACTGTCGACTTTGATGATACAGAGGTCACGCACAAATGCGCGACACACTGTACATGTAGACTATCCATCTCATGTATTCGACTTACTATTTTTCCTCGAGAACGTGCGGATGCTTGCATAGTTCACATGTCCGGAGCGATGTAAAGAAACCTTCCGTACGGTACGCATGCATTGGCCCAGCGTGGAGAGGTGCTACGTATGCGGTAGGTTGTTTTTGCATTTTCGTTCTACCAAACGGCAACACCAACTGAATGAAAAATCTCCAGAACTGGCTCTATTGCGTAGACTTTTCGTTCGTCTTAACGTTCAGTTTTGCTTTCATCTCTTGCCCATCTCTTGGTCATGGCATCAATGAGAGCCACCACACCAAAGTACCGAAAGTGGTGTGTGTCTCAATTCATCCGAATTGTTCGATCGGGTTGCACAAGCCACGGCAGCGCCCTGAGAAAGCAACACACATGCGGCACTTTCATTTTTAGAATGAATAACGCGGGGTTCACCTTTGACTTTTAGTCACACAACCCCCACGACATGCACACGCGCATCTGCTGTTTTTTTGCAGCTCACTCACTACCACCTAAACCTCATCATTGTTGGATTTGTCAAAGTCAACTCATGTGCGTTGACACTGCTGTTGTACGTAGGTGGAATATCAGGGCCTGTCGCACGAAGTTTTCCCGTAAATTCCTCGGTATGTTGTCAGTGGGACAGTCCATCGGGTGATTGCACTGTTCACATGGTATCAGTTGGAGGGGCGTGATCTACAGCAGCAGTCGGAACATGAATGGTAGGACTGAGGTAGTACCGTTGCTAAAGGACGACCTAACCTCCATACAAACCGTGTGCAGTAGCTCTGTCAAGTTATTTTCTCTGTGGGTGTTGGATGCCTGGAGGACAAGGTTCGGCCCCATGCCGCTCGCCCCCACCATCCTCCGTCACAAGTAGCTTGCTGCCAACATGGGGCGCGCCAACGCTGTTAACATAGCAGCAACAACACCATCTTGCTTCTCTTCGCAACAATTACACTCTCCTGCCGAGCACCTTCTCCACTTCCAACGCGCGCTGCTTGCCACACACGCAAACACGCAGCTACTTCAACCAGGGCCTGCGCTTCACGTCCACCTTCAAGTTCGACTACGCCGCCGAGAGCCAGCTCGCCGCCCTCAACGAGGACCCGTCGTGCGCCATGTGCGAGTGGGGCCTCGCCCTGGCCTACGGCCAGAACCTCAACGACGCGTTGGTGATGTCCCTCGAGCCCTGGTTCCTTGCCAACGAGCCCCTGGCATTTCAGGCGGTGCAGCGGGCGCAGGCGCTGCTTCTCTCGGCGGAGAGCGAGGCCGAAAGAAGCAGCAGCGGAGAAGAAGGGGGGGAGGAGGAGGAGGAGGACGCGGGTGCTGCTCCGTCGGCGTACGGGTCGGGGGACGAGGAGGAGGCGCCCGACAGCAGACGACGGGGAGACGACAGTTCTACGCGGCCTCCTCCTTCTTCTTCTTCTTCTTCGACGGCAATGCGTAGACGAGACCTGGCGCTGGTGTCCGCCCTCTCTCTCAAGTTTGTCGCCACCCTCGAGGTACAGCGGCAGAAAGAAGAAGAGGCAACGAGGCAACAGCAGTCGAGAGGGTTCAATTACCCCCCACGTAGGGATGGGTGTCATTGCCCACGGTAGATTTGACGGTGCCACAGGTGTGAGCTGGATATAGGCTTTTCAAAATTATTTCCCACGGTAGATACGTAGCAAGACAGCGCCTCTTCGTACGAATGATTTTGTTTTTTGGCGGAGTATTTCAATCACACGCATTCAACAGCACGGCGGGATTCGTATCGACGAGTCTCACTTCTTTTCCTGCCGGCCTTTGTTTGTCCGTGTCAAAATAGCGAATTGCGCATGATGGCAGGGGTCACAACGTCGTGAATCCCCGTTGCTTCTCTCTTGTGTGTCGATCGCGTTTCTCGTGCCCGCCGCGCATTACCTACTCACACAAACACGCAGGTGGGGGGGGGGCTAGAAGGCATGTCGATTTCGGTTGCTTTTTGTCCCGTTGCTCGCACGCAAACTAAACACCTACCTGTGTCCATTGGTCTCGTGAAGCTATGTACACCGGATGCAGGTCCGCTACACTGCCCATCAAGCCGGGTCAGCTAGGTCGATGCCTTCCTTCGACTTGTGTGGTTATATCTAGAACGGGCTACAGGATTCACTTTGACGGTACAGTATGTATTCTTAAATTAGAAGAATGAAAACAAAGAACACACGAACGCGCGACCGCACTTACGCCGGCAGGAGTACGAGTCCCACTTCGTCGACGGACTCCCGGCATCGCTCAACCAGGCCTACGCGGAGGCCATGGCGGATGCCGCTGCCCGGTCGGAGGAGGAAGGGTGGCCCGACCACCCCATCGTTCTTCTTCTTGCTGCGGACGCTTGGATGAACATCTCGCCCTGGGACTGTTGAGTGTGGTCGTTTTTTTTTCTTTTTCCTTTTCTTCCCGTGATCAAAGTCGGCCATGTCTGCTTGAGAAAATGGATGGGACAACAGCGGCGTTTTGGAAGCAGGAGGAGCGATTTTTGCACCCGTGTCTGCTGCTGTCTTGTGCTGCTGCTGTTCCCCCCCCCCTGCCCAACCCCTGCACCCCACCACCTATGCATGCAATAAACACCAACGACCCAACAACAACAACAACACACGAAAAACAGATTGGGAAACCCCTTCGGTGATGAGGCCCAACGCGAGGAAGGCCAGGACCCTGCTGGAAGACGCCATGCTCCTCGACCCCGACAACCCCTGGGCGATCCACTTCTACACCCACCTCATGGAGGTCGGGGCAGAGGCAGGAGCCGCCGTCGCCCCGGCGCAGCGGCTAGAGTACCTTGTTCCCGGGGCACCGCACCTCCAGGTTGTTGTTGCAGGTTGTTGTTGTTGTTGTTGTTGTAGTTGTAGTTGATGTTGCGTGGGTGCAGGGCTGGAAGCGATATCGATCTCCGCTGGTGGTGGTGGTGGTGGTGGTGTGGTTGTTGTTGTTGTTGTTGCTGCTGCCATTGCTGGTGCGTTTCGCTGTTGGTCGCACGCAAGCCTTTTAGAAAGCAATTTGTCTGTCGCATCGTGTATGTATGTGGACATGCTAGCTTTGTTTAGACGTGGGAACACAAGAGGAGAAGGTGAGCAGACGACACGGGTGTGATGTCGTCGCCTTCGTGACGGCGGCACGCGGAATAGTACACCTTCGGCAAGTATTGTCCGCGCTCTCGTCCATGCCTCCTCCGTCGAGCATTGTACACGAAAAACTACCTGTTTTTTTGCAACTCCCTCTGCTGCAGGCAATCGTGTTTGTCGCGGCTCGAAGGAACCCCCCTCTCTGCACGATGCGTATGCATACCATCCCCCCGTCCCCCGCAATACACCCCTCTCTCGCGACGCAGCACATGCAGTCCCACGTGGAGTTTCGCACCGGCCAGTGGCACGACGCCAGCGAGGCGAACTTGCGGGCCGTTGCCCTCCCAGATTCGGACGCCAGCTACCCGGATCACAACATGGACATGCTCATGTGAGGAGAAAGGGTGTACTGTAGCTTGGTCTCGTCGCTAGTCGCAGGCTACCTTGGCGTGTGTGTGTTCAATTCCATTTATTTACACCTCTCGGTGTATAAGTTTGACGCATCTGCCGAGTTCACAAAATAGCTTCTTTTTTTTTTTTCCGCTTCATTTTTTTGTTTTTTGCCCACCTTTCCTCCTGCGGTGCTTGCCTCAGTGTTAATATCGCGAGCAGGGTTCAGCCATCCTTTTTCCTCGTCGACCGTGAACTCGACGTGTGTAATGTGCATATGATCACGAAATCTAATTTTTTCCGATTGAAAAGCGTAGGCACAGAAAACCCACCGGAGAGAAAAATTAGAACCCCCAACCTGCTACAAGGTAGGTTTACGAGTTGGACTACAAGATCCATTTGGTATACTCTCAAACCCACCTAAGAAACATATTGTACAATTGGTAATCTATTCACCACACACATTGCCTTATATATATATATATTTTTTTTTTGCATGTGTACACGTGTGCAGGTGGGCGTTGGGGGTGGAGGGCAGGCGGACGGAATCCGGGAGCATCGGGCGACGGCTGACGGCCTACTCGACCGCTCGTGTGCTGGCCGGCGTGACGGCACCTCTCCTACCGCCGGAGAGGTACCTGGCGCAGGAGCCGCTGCACCTCTGCGCCTTCGCGGACTGGGAAGGAGTCCTCGCTCTCGCGCCCCCCCCCGACGGAGCAGAGTTTCCCCTTGCTGCTTACCGCTTCGCCCGGAGGTGCGTTTCGATATGTGCAGGGGAGATAGATGCACCACGAAAGTGTCGCTGAGTAGGTGGTGTGCTGTGCGACGGGTGGGGGAGAGGGGGTGCGCTAAGAGGGAGAGAGAGAGAGAGAGAGGGAGAGAGGTGGATGTTCTACGCCAGGGCGAGGAAGCTTTCGCATGCTGAGGAGGATCTGTAGCAGTAGCGCTCTTGGGCGGGTAAGACCCAAGGAACCCGCATGTGGTTGCCGCGTGGCATGGTTGTACCTGCTGTGTTGTGGCCAGGCCAGCTCGAGCGTAGCATGTTTGCACCTGCCGTGTTGCGGCCAGGTCAGACTCGCCAAGTCTGCCGAGCTTCACGAACACACCCCTTGTGCTGCCGCTGCCGTGTTTCGTTCAATCTCTCGTAGTTTTGCTTTCGCCAACGCCAAAGACTGGGACAGCTACCGGCGAGAACAAGGTTTCATTACCGCCGGCGTGGAGATAATGGAAGGCAGGACTCAGTACTACGGGGTGTACAATGTGAGGCCGATGTTCCTCGTAGCAGGACACTCACCATTAATAATAGTGGTATCGGCGAGACCCCCGCGCGCGCAGGATGGACCGGCTCGATTTGACCCTCTATGCTGAGTTTTTTTTTTTTGTGTTTTGAACTTAAAGGCGTGCCAATGCCGAAGGTTGCACAAGATACCGCACACCGCTATTGAAGCTCAACTACTCTGCATGACGGTGCCGAAAATGGAGGCTTTGGAACCGTCCCATGGAGAGCTTGCATCGTTTGACAGTGGCATCCTCTTCGCCATGGAGCATTCGTGTAGTCGAGCATCGAGAATCTTGTGTCACGTATCTACGGTACCACCCCAACCTCGAGAGATTGCGGCATGCGGGGGCCGTCTCGATACGCCGCCCCTTTTGGGTCGAAGGCGTAGATGCAAATAGTAGCGAAACAGTTCCTTTCATTTTATTGCAGCGCCCCCGAACCGCTGTATCCACACCTGTCTCTGATGATTTGTCGCCGGCAGCGGGGTCGCTTCCTTCTTCTCGTCGTTGGACCTTTTGCCCCGTGTTTGCGGGGGGGTTCACGTGTTTGGTCCTCGTTCGCGTGCGCTACTAACACCTCCCGGTGCGATGTGGTACTGCGCGGCCTTCACCGCATCCCTCCTCCTGATCGTGAGAGATGACACGTCGCTTACCTCCCCTCCTCTAGCCCTGATCGAAAAACACAAAGAAAGTCGCTCCCTTCCTCCCTCCGGCAGGCGGCTGAGCTGACCAGAATCCTGGACCTGCTTTCTCGGGCCGAAGGGTTGCGCGGTGGCATCCACGTCAGCGCTGCCGGCACAACACCCGGCGACGTCACCACCGCTGCTACCGCCGGACCCGAAGAGCTGGAACTCCTGCGGCAGGCGGTGGAGATGCAGGACGCGCTGGGTTACGACGAGCCGCCGCGGCTGCCTGTGCCGACGAGGCTCTTCCTCGCCGCGGCCCTGCTTCGCGGGGTAGACAGCGGAGGCGGAGGCGGCGGCATCGAGGGGGGAGTCGACGGCAGCAGCGTCGGCGATGGCGACACCGCGACCACAACGGCACCGGTGTCAGCAGCGCCACCAACGCTCACGACACCGACCACCACGGCAGCGGCAGCGGCGGCGGTGGAAGAGGCGGAGGCCGTCCTCCTAGAGGTTGACGCCGAGTACCCGGGCATGGGCCGGACGCTGCTGGGCCTCTGGCGGTGCCGCGAGGCGCTCGGGAAGCACGACGAGGCCCTCGCCCTTCGGGAGCGGTTCCTCGCCAGCTGGGGACCCTACTCCGAGGTTTGGCTCGAGGACAGCGCGCATGTCGGCGGGGTTCTTGGAGGAGGGGACGGCGGCGGCGGCGGCAGCGGCGGGGGGGCACCTGTGGTCGGGGCAGGTTTGGACGAGGAGGAAGGGCTCCACCACCACGCTCCCCAGGGCGTCGATGGCAAGGACTATCGCGTCCTTGCCGGGCTGACAGTCGCGGCCGCGGCGCTGTCGCTCTCCGCGTTTCTCCTGGCGGCCGCAAGGCGGAGGAGCGGTGGGGGTTGCGGGGGAGGCGTGTTTCGTGCGCTGCTGCCGCGGGGGGCTGGGGGCTCAGCGGCGGGAGCGGAGGCGGTGTCCATCGTGGTGCCAGGCCGCGGTCAGGGTCGGCGAGCGAGAGGGAGGAGTGACAACGGCAACAGCAGCGGAGGGCACGGGTACCGCACCATCGGAGAGGGCAGCGGCGATGATGGCTCGGTTGTGCAAATCGACGGCGGCGTCTTGTAGAGGCGATGCGGGCGAAGGGTTCGTGGGTAAACAACGCCTAGAACGAGAAAACCCTGCGGCATGGAGGGACGGGGAGGGGGTGTTCACCCCGGGCACCGTGTTCCGTCTGTCGCCTCTTTGTTGCTGCTGCGTCAGGCTGAAGGGGGGGCGGGCGGGGGAGGGGGGGGGGGGGGGGG